GAAGACTGGTCTTTTGTTGTATCTTACGATCATATCTTGCCTGCTTGCAAGGCGTTTTATGATCGACTCTATAATATCTTTGATATGTGTGTCCCTAAATTTAATGCACCGCAAAAGAGACTGTATCCGCCTTGGTTTAATGGCCATATAATAAAAAATATTAAGCTTAAAGCAAGATATTGGCGTAAGTTTAAGCGAACAGATGACTGTGTTGCGCAGAATAATTTCAAACAACTTAGACATACAATAAAAACAGATATTGAAGTTGCTTACGCTAACTATGTTAAGGAAGCCGAAAAAAAATATTGCAAGGGAGCCTGGTAAATTTTGGTCATTCGTTAAAAACAAAAATAAATGTACCAACATCTCTACTCAGATGTCTTATGATGATAAGCATCTCGATAATCCTAAAGAGATACTTAATGCTTTTGCAGATTTTTTCAGTAACTCATTTTTACCACCTTCTACTAACTTCGATTTTACGCACAATCAGGCAATCAACAGTTCCACAATTAATATCAGGTGCTTTGATGAAAATGAGGTACTTAACGCTCTGAAAAAACTAAAACCTAAGTTAACGATCGGGCCTGATGGTGTTCCTGCATTTTTAGTAAAAGACTGTGCTAGTATTTTTGCACACCCGCTTACGTTTTTATTTAATCTATGTGTCACAAACTGTTGCCTCCCTGAAATCTGGAAATGTTCAAAAGTGTGTCCGGTTTTTAAGAAGGGTGATAAACATGATATTAGCAATTTTAGACCAATATCTATCATATGTAATTTTTCAAAGGCCCTTGAAATTTTACTCCATGATAACATTTACTATGGCGTTAGCAACCAAATATCGGTGTACCAACATGGTTTTATGAAAGGACGTTCTACCACCTCTAATCTGTTATGCATAACCCAATCTATTTCTGAAGCTATTGATCAACGCACGCAACTTGACGTAATATATACAGATCTCTCGAAGGCATTCGACCGACTGGATCACTCCATACTGCTAAACAAAATGTCTGTTTTTGGTTTTTCGCCGTCTCTGTTATTATTTTGTCATGCTTATCTTTCGGATAGAAGGCAATATGTTGCGTATAATGGTTTCCAGTCTGTCGAATATATTGCTACATCCGGAGTCCCACAAGGGTCAATTCTCGGTCCCCTGTTGTTCAACATATTCGTTAACGATATTGTGAATGTTATTGATGTGTCCTGTCTACTTTACGCTGATGATGTCAAAATTTTTAAAGTAATTTCTTGTTTGGAGGACTGCGTTTCTCTGCAAAACAGCCTTTCAAACTTATTTAATTGGTGCGTTGAAAACAACTTAAATCTGAATGTGTCTAAGTGTAACGTTATGACCTACACAACTAAATACGAGGCTGCGATGTTTAATTACAGTATTGACAACGCAATCCTTCAACGACCTTCTACTCTTGCTGACCTTGGCGTAATATTCGATGGTGAACTTTCATTTATACCTCACATAAATAATTTAGTGTCTCAATCTCTTAAGACTCTTGGGTTCCTAATTAGAACTAGCAGAGACTTCTCGAATATCAGTACACTTAAAACTTTATACTTTGCTTTTGTTAGGTCTAAACTTGATTATGCGTCTCTTGTTTGGAACCCTCATTACAGAAATCACGTAGACTCTTTGGAGAAAGTGCAAAGACGATTCTTAAAACTATTATGGCTTAAGTCTGAGGGAGCATACCCGTCTATCGGTGTTCCCCAACAAGAGTTGTTGACTAAGTTTTCCATGACATCTCTTGAAAATAGACGCGAATATTTTTCTCAAGTATATCTATATAAAATCTTACACAATCAAATTGACTGCCAAGAATTATTAGGGAAATTAAATTTTCATGTGCCTAGTGTGAATTTTCGGAGAACACAAACTTTTTACGTCTCATTTTCGCACTCGAATATTCTTAGACTCTCTCCTCTATTTACTATGTGCAACAATTACAACAACAACTGTGGGCAGTTTGATTATTTTTCATTGCACCCTTGATTTTATTAAAAAAATGCTATAATAACTAAGTCTTTGTTTCTCTTTTTTCTTTTTCCCTCTTAAACTGTATGAAATTATTTTATTGTTATTTTTATAGAATGTTTTATTGTTATTTTTATACAATGTTTTTTTTCTTTTTAAATTCTTTTCTATATACTTATACTGTATTGTATTTTTTGTTTTGTGTATTTTTCCTGCTCTAGAAATGGGTTTACCTGTTGAGCAGTGTATGCAAATAAATAAATAAATAAATAAATAAATATGTAAATTCATGCATGTTAGCTTCAGTTAAGGACCAAAGCCTGTATTAGAAAGATCACTTTACTGGATCAATAAATTATTCTTCAAAAAGAGTTTTCAAGTGTTTCTCATAAAAATAAACATAATTAGGCTCGTTGAATACTATACTATTATCCACCACTATTAAATAATGCATCCATTATGTATATGCTTCCTCAAGGATAATGATATCCATTATTCACTAGTGAATAATTGATTATTCACTGGTTCTCAAATGTTATATTAAAATCTCATTGAATATACCATGACGTGTCAGTCAAAATTACGAAATTGCTATTTGATTTGAAGCGTCAAAGTCAAACGTCAGAATTTTTACCGCGATATTTTACCATTATTATTATTTAATAGTCGTGGATAACGTGTAGTATTCTATTAGCATGTATTCACTAGAGTGATTTACTACACTTGCCTACGACTCATGTTGTAAACTTCACCCTCCTCGTGATTAACAGCCATGATTACATGCTCCTTGAATAATACTATTTTACGTATAGTTGTGGTCAATAAATGATGGGGCAGATTTTTTTATGTAGTGTAAAAATAACTTTGCAAATGTATCTTCAGTCTTGGCGTATCAATATTTATGTAGTCTATTAATATTAATAATCCTAATATACAATTAAATTTTAGCAAAAATCTGTGTTAAGAGTTGTCCAATTTTTTATTGTCCGTAACTGTTCATATGCTGACTTTTTGATTTTTGGTTAAGGAGCGTGTAATGAAGCTTGTCTAATCTAAAGAGTACATTATCAAAAAAACAATAAATATCTGCTATAAAAATATTTTAGGAATAATAAATAGCTTGTGCTAAAAATGTTCTTCGTTGTCATCGTTTTCTTCTACAGAAGAAGAATTCATACAATTATTGCCATAACATTGGGCACATTTCGGACAACACTTCAGTCCCATTTTCTCGCATGAACAATTTTTGCTGCAATGACTTTGTTTGCAATTATAAAAAAATAATTTTAATAGATCTAAAGGCGCTGCTCTTTGAGTAGATTGATATGAACAAGATGACTAGGAACAAGACCATTGACCATGGTAATCTTTTTTCCACAAATACTTTAAGGGATCGAGATGGTTGCCAATCCATTCCTGAAGCTAAAAAGTTGGTAATGATAACATATTAATTGGTTGCAAGAAAATCACTTATCTGCCACTATTATACCTGAAAATATGCTTTGAGAATATGTTGCTCCGCAGAGTTTTCAGTAGGAGGCCTAAAGTAGCCAAATTAAATGCCGATTTTAATCCTTGCTTTGACGTACTTCTATTATACAATACATATCTTAGCTGTTTTACGTCTTTAATATTTCATGAGGACCAACATAATTTTAAACGAAATCTGAGTCCTGACATTACTATTTCAGATTTTTCACCAGTTTTATTTAAAAATGCCTCAATTTCTTGACAAATTCCTTGTTTTTCTCAGCAGAGGCAGGTAATATTTTTTTGGTTTATTGAACACTGATATGGCATGCAAAACAATATATAATCCTTTAGATATAAATACAAATATGATGTTCCAGTTTGTCCTGTGTATCAGATATTTTGATTACTTTGTCACCTTTTACGATCTTGCTCAGACGTATCATGCAAATTTTTTATTTTTAGAATTTGTATTAATTTTAAAAAAAATCAGAATGTAAAAATAATGGCTAAGCACTTTTAAAAATATACCTTTAGAGTAAGCCGTAAAATTTATCGTAAAATTACCATATCTTCGTAATTTTTCGTTATAGACAAAAAACGTTTAAATAAAAAACATTTGTTCATTCATTTCTCACAAAAAAGGTCTTTTGTATTTCTTTCATAAAACACATGACTAAAATACTAGGATATCAAAAAAAAACAAGAAAATTCAAGATGGCGGCCATTTTGTTCGAACTTCCCCTATTATGAGGGAATGGGAGTTTTGGCAGATTAAAAAGAACGTTATATGGTCCCGCTGAGATCAGTTGGTGACTAATTTCTTCTACCCCACTCCCCTATGTGCAACCAGATTTACTAGGCTATTTACATTTAAATGCAACGACCGATATAATTACACCAGTGTCATATATTGAAACAGTTGGATGGATCTCGACCATAACCAAATAAGAGGATGAATTTCAGGCATAGCCAAATGGTCAGTGGGCAACAATTTGAACTTTTGTTTTGACGAATTAGGCTTCTCTATAAGATTTTATTTCAATTTGCTAACATGAGTTTAATTTAAAAGACGATTTCACACTTTTTACGAAATAGTCAAGTATTAATAGAAAATATCTTTTTTTATTGCAATTGAATCGGTAACTGATTTTTTCAGTTGTTGCAACTGATAAAATGGCCAATAAGATGTAAAATAATATAACGTAGTTTTCATTACTTGATAATTTCATGAGTTGCTGTTTAAAATGAACAATAATATCATAACTCGGAGGCATGCAGCTGTAATAAAAAAAGTACTAAAAAAATTTACGCCGTACTGTCAGTCGATGTTGGTAGTGGTACGCGTTGGGGTGAGCTTTTGTAAAGTTTTGGAACTAGGAACTGAATTTTATTAATTAAACACCACCATAGGTAATACAATCCTCTGTATCCCTGAAGGTACTGTGTGTGGGAAGGACTACACATTTAGCTACAATAGACACACACCCAATGTCCGAGTATGCTAGGATTAATTTCTGGTTTAGAAAAATCCTAGCTCCTCGACCGGGGATTGAACCCGGGACTCCAGTGTGAGAGGCAAGTGTCCTTACTACCCGACCACGAAGCCACTAATTAATAAATAAGAATAAAATTTTAGTCCTGTGTCTATAGACTCCTATTGTGTCCTTGTTTTACTAAAGAGTTCCTTTTAATTGTTGATATTAATTAGAATAAAGCATTTTTATTTTTTGTTCCTTATTCCTGTTATACTATATTTACCAACGTTTCCTCTAATATGTGTATCTTTGTTATTTTTTTATTATTAGGAAAAACAATGCGTTTTATTTTTTATATTCTGTTACTTATTAAATTATAAAAAATAAACAGAATCTGTTAATTTAGAAATATCTATATCAGTACAGAAAAGCTAGAGGAGCCTACCGGCACTGCTTTTTGTACGATTACACTACCGCCTATAAGAGCAGATTACCCGCATTTTGTGTTGTAAATATATATTAAAAGGAAAATATTAAATTAACTGACGTATTTCCGGTGTGTTACTTAAGAACATAATTAGGTTGGAAATTTATCCTTATAAAACTATTTTAAATACTTTATTTGCCTATTTGGTGTAAATTTTAGTAGGTAATTTTATTTAATAGTTTATAAATTAATTAACTGTGATTGATTACTTATTATAGGGCCGGTATATCCACCTACTGGAAAAGTTATCGAACAGATAGATTTAAGAATAAAATTGTTAAACCAGTAAAATAATAGTTACTATTTATCAATTTTTGCAGAACAGTAATTTCATATGAGAATATACTTCGCTGTGATCATTTTTTTGCAAAAGTAGAGACGTAATAATTAATATAAATCTTTTTGGTAACTAACAGCCACACTACTAGAAGATGGATATACCGAGTCTTATTTGAAAAGTTTACAGGGTGGTCTCCTTAAATAGAACGCATAAATAAAAATAATGTTACTATTACGTGTTGAGGACATCATATCAGAAGGGCGTAAACGCCAATGTATGTGCTATGTTTATACGCCCTTCTGATATAATGCCCTCGAAATGTTAACGTTTAGCACCGCCTAAACTTAAGTCACTCTTAAGCTTTTTTTCATGACAAAAAACAAAAACAAATATCACAAATTTCATTTTTAAGGGTTCCCCATAAGAAAAAATCATGTGTGGTTAGGTTTGGCGACCGGGGAGGAAATTATATTGGACCATAAGTCACCAACAATCTATCTTCATATGCAATATTTAAGTAATTTTGAACAACGACTGCATTGTGACAAGATGTTCCGTCTTAAAAAATTGTTTTAAAATGTTTCTTAACCGCCTATCAAGTCACCGAAGTAACTCACAGTAAATCCTAGGATTTTGTGTTAAGTAAAGAGAGACGAGGCCCTACAGTTTATTGTGGAGTCCGGTCATCTAGGTTATCGACAGTTCTCTCCCATCTTAATCCAAAACAAATTACAAATAAAATAAGTAAATAGCTTGCTGTATCCACATATGTCTTCTTATCTGAAGAGGAACTTCCACCAATAAAATTAGGAGCTCGTTTTCAAGAAAATCTAAGTATTTATGTTCCGGTTAAGGCATAGTCACAAGAATACGCCCTACTGTGCAGCACCATACATTTATTCCAAAATGTCCTTGTCTTTCAGAAGTTTTCACATTATGTGGGTTTTAATCTGACCAATAATGAGTGTTTTTCTTATTTGGTGTGCCATCTACTTTCATCTGTCCATAATATATGATTACACAGATTACGACCATCATCTAAAGTAACCATATATTCATAAATGAAATTTTCCCGCTGTTCACAATCTGCTGGAGAAAGCTCTTGTAAATTGTTATTTTTAAAATCGTACTATTTGTTGACCTTCAAGGTTCGTTGTATCGCATTGTAAGTTCAATTTAATTCCTGTGAAATTTGTCTTATTGATGCTTCAGGAGAAGTGTCAAAATAATTTAAAATAATGGCAACATTTTCGTACGTCGTTATAGTTTTTGTTTATTCTTCTTGGATGTGAAAGCTTTATGATTTTCACGTATATTTTTCTCCAGTCTTGAACATATTTTGTGTTCTAGTATATTACGGTGTGGATCCATATCTACATACAATCTTCTTGCAGCAAGACTATTCTTTTTGGTTTCTTCATATAATAATAACATCTCTCACCACCTCATTATGAGTAAATATGATATTTTTATTGCTTAAATTTAATTAATATTTTTAACAACATTACGACACATTTATAAGCACTTTAAAACAACAATTAACTTTTCATAAAACTGACTGACAGTTAATGATAAATAAAACAAATTGCTTTTCTAAACCTTCTTTACTATACAGGAACAGCATCGATCGATATAGGTAAAAGCACGTACCAGAAAATTTTGAAAATTTAGGGAATTACTAATGGCAGTGTGACCAATCCAACTAAAATAATTATAAGCATCTGGCACTTCCGGTTATACCGAAAGTCGATACCAACTTGCTTATTTTAAATGGAATACCCTATATATTTTAGGATTTTTTGAAAAGAGCATGAAATTCATGTAGGATACCCTATGTGTAAACCCAGCCGTTTCAGAGATATTTAATATTTTAAAAACATTTTGACAGGTATAATGGTTTACAATAACCTTTATAACTTTCTTCGTGTAAAATATACTCACTTGCTTTTTGTATGCAGAAAGACCATAAGGTGAGCTACGCTCTACAGTTTAAAGAAATTCAATAATAGTATACCAAGTGTTCCATTTTTTACGTTACATTTTGTAAATTTCAAACCGCGAAAACTTGCTTAAGTGAAATGGAACACTCTGTATTTTTTTTACATCAAGTTATGCATAATTAAATTCCTTTTTTCTGATATAAGCATTGTGGGGGTTTAAGTTACAACTTTTTGAAATATTTGCGATTTTCTTAGAAATTCTAAGCTGCTCTGGAACGGGATTATGCAAGGACTCAGTTCACAGAATCTTAATTAAACATAAATTTCACCCGTTTTCGTTCCAAATGGTTCAACGATTAAAAGAAACATATTTCCTAAGAAGAGAAAATTTTTGTGAATTTATTCTAATAAGATCTGTTGGCGACGATTCTTATTTGGGAAATATTATATGGTGAGATCAAGCCAAATTTACCAAAAATGGACTTTTTAATCGACACAATTCGCATACTTATTTGGAGTGACTCGAATTCTCATGTGTTCAGGGAGATATGACTCCGTGGTCTAGAGGTAACGTACTTGCCTCGAAACCTCGGGGTCCCGGGTTCGATTCCCGGCCGTGACACTGGGATTTTTCTGTGAGAGAGATTAATCGTAGTATACTCGGATATTGGATGTATGTCCGTTGTCTCTTAATGTGTAACCCTCTCCTGCACAATTTCATTTAGGACATTCAGGGATAAAGGGGGTTGTCATTACATGTGGTGTTATTATTAAAGAAACTATTATTGAATTTCTTTAAACTGTAAAGTGTAGCTCATCTTATGGTCTTTCTGCATGTCTAAAAGCAAATGAGTATTTTTACACGAAGAAAGTTATAAAGGCCATTGTAAACCATTACACCTGTCCAAATTTTTTTAAAATGTCAAATATCTCTGAAACGGCTGGGTATAGTCATGTTTTTGACTTAGAATTTTATGCTCTTTTCAAAACCTCTAACATATATAGGGTATTCCATTTTAAATAAGCAAGTTGGTATCGATTTCCGGTATAACCGGAAGTGCCAGATGCTTGTAATTATTTTAGTTGGATTGACCACACTTCCGTTAGTAATTCCTTAAATTTTCAAAATTTTCTGGTGCATACTTTTCCCTATATCGATCGATGCAGTTCCTGGTGAGACACCCTGTATATAAACCCAACAATAAAAAGGAATGTTTCTGAAACAAAAAAAAAACAAATTCACCGCATCTGTGTGAATATGTAACTAATATATTTTAATCCAAAATTTTAGTGACATTCACTTAAATTGAAAAACTGTTTTCAAGAAAAACGCATTACTCATGATAATTTGATCACCCTGTACATAATCATGTCGCCTTATTTTATTTTTTTCGCTATTGGTTCTCTCGGGTTCTCTACGAATATCGTTTAGTGTGTACATTAAACCATCCAAATGTTTTTGCAAACACTCAATATAGACAACAACTTGCTGGTCTTCTTCAAATTTGCGTTTAAGTTCTTTCAAGATAATTCTTGGACTTTCCTCTAATACTGACCATGAGGTCATGATGTTCTTCCGTAATTTCCACCACGTTGTCTTTCTATCTCGTCTTGATTCTTCACCCATTTGAGAACGGAATCACAGAGTATTCCCAAACGTCAACTCTTTAATTATCTTAAAATATTTGACGTTTAAGTTTCTATTCAGATTAATATATTTTTTTAGATGATACACCTTTTTTGGATAGGAAAAGTATTTTTTTCAAAAATAAGTCTCTGACTGATCCTTTTGGCGCAGAGGTTTATTTATAATTTTTTTTTAAATAATGTATAGGAGTGGCTTAATAGCCAAAGAAGGTGAGCATATCCTCAACTGAGAATTGGTATTGTACTACTTCTTCCATTTACAGAATAGATTTATGAATTAATTTTTTTGGTAGAAGATATCAGCTAAATTACAGTTTCTTTTTCTTTCATAATATCGTGTATTTTGGTAATAAAAATGTTATTGTAGTAATGTATTTCATTTATAAAATCCTTTTTTTCATACCTGTTTTTTATAAAATTGAGTAGGTATATAATATATAAAATATATAAAAAGGTAAAAAAAATCTAATTTTCTGCACAAAAAAATTTTTAGTTCGATACTCGAAAAGGTTCATAAAAGTTAAAAATGAAAAAAAATGTTCAAACTATCTGGGGTCATCTAAAAGAAAATTTACCAAAGTACTTCTGTTAACACTGTTAACCAAATGTTTTTGAAGGTCGAGACTACCAATCCCAGGATTCTAAGGGACTGTACATATTATCTGCCTGTATTAAAATTTCTACGTAGGTCTTATGAGCAAATCTTCGTATTACCAATCATTTATTACTTTTTATGTAAATGTAGGTTTACTTATTTGCCGAGAAAAATGGGAAAAA